AACCATAGCTCGTTTCTGAGCTTGCCAGCAATTCAGGATGCAGAGCCATGACTGCTGCTGTCCCAACAGTCTGGCCTCTCACTTGCAGCAGCCAGACCCTCCCTCCTTCTCTCTGTGGCAAGACCACAAGAAAGACAACACACACTGGGAAATGCAGCTTTGAGTTTACTGTGGATGTTTTAAGTGCAGCAAGGTTCAAGAGGGGACAGTGTTATCTCTGAAGGAAATGGGGTCTGTTGTGGCACAGCCTCTTTCTGTGCCATCAGGGACTATTCTTGCCTCTCTCAAGGTGTTTAATATGGCTCTGAAGTGGCTGCCTGAGATGGGCAGGGAAGGGGACAGCCAGCAGCCTCAGAACAGAATGAAGAGGACCCTCATGTGCACCAAGTCACTTGGGTTCCCAAGGAGAGAGGAGGGAGTTGAGCCTTCAGCAGGGACAGGAAGGAAGCCATTGCAGTCTCCAGGGCCACATCTGAGCTGGAGTAAGTGCTGTGGCTGCTGCTACTTCTTCATGACTTTTTTGATCCAGGGCAGGTAGTTGGAGATGCGGGTGTAGACCCCAGGTGGGGCGTTATACCCAAAGGAAACAATGCCTTGTGCCACTTTATTGCATACCAAGGGCCCACCAGAATCTCCCTGGGGACAGATGAGACTGATTTTAGAGGCCTCTTCCCTGTGGGAACAGGTTTTCCCCTGGTCCCTCCCTGTCTAGGGGGTCTATGGCTCTGCTGCTGCCCCACATGCCCACCTGGCTGGAGGAGCTGCCCCAAGCTGGTGAGTTGGGGCTCTACCTCTGCTACTGTGCAGGGACTGTGGTGTCAAGATGTCCAGAGAGTTGGTTCATATGGGAGCTACAGATCAAATGCTTGTTGCCTGCCCTGGGAATCAGCTCCATCTGTGGCAGCAGCAGCATCTGCTCTCAGAGAGCCAAACCCCAGCCTGCTGGCAGCCCCTACCTGGCTGGAATCCTTCAGCTCATGGAAGCTGCCGGCACAGATCATGCCAGTGTCAAGATGTGGATAGAAGAGGGTGCATTTCCTGCGGCTGTAGATGGAGACTTTGGTTTCAAAGAGCTTGTTGGTCACCTGGTCGTCATCAATCAGACCCCAGCCGGCGATGCTGCACTTAGTGCCTGTGGGGAGGTCACTGCTGGTCTTGGGCAGTGGAATGGTCTTGACATAGTCATTGAGAGTGGCCTTTGATGTCAGCTGGGAGAAAGCAGGGTTTTGGAGAAGGTTATGAGTAGGAGAGCTGAAGGATGCTTTCTACGCAGAGGTAGGGGAGGTCTAGCAGGACATGTGGCACTGTAAGCTCTAGTGAGCTCCTGTGAATGTGGCATATGGCTCCAAGCCCTGCCAGTGGTTCCCTCCCAGGTCCCTCCCAGTCTTGCCTGCCTCCAGCAGTTTGGGCAGAAGCAGCTTTGCAGAGGTGGACCCTGCCAGACCCACAGCCCCATCCCACCCTCTGCCCCACTGCCCACTGCAGAACCGCCTTGCCTTGAGCAACATGATGTCATTAAACATGGTGTCAGGGTCGTATTCAGGGTGCTCGTGGTATCTGAGAACTCCCCGGACCTGCTGGGTTGTTTCTGGTTTGTGGACGTCGTGAGCCCCCAGGATGACTGTGATATTCCTGGCCACAACATAGAGCGTAGAGGGGGGAATAAGGTTGGGTGTCACCCAGCTCCCTCCCCTTTGGCAGGCAGGTGGAGAGAGCTGCAGAGAACAGGAGGAAGAGGAACCTACTCCAAAAACGCTCCAGTGAAGGACATCACAGGTTAGGTGAGAAACAAGGGGATAAAGCTCCCATATGAAGTACTCACCCCATGCAGTGTGCGGCTGTCATCACCCACTCAGGGGCCACCAGGAAGCCCCCACAGGCAGACATCCCTATCTTCAGGTATGCCATGTAAGGGTGGGAGTGGGGCTGCGCCTCATGGCCCCCTACAATCTGACCCTGTAGAGCACCTGAAAGACACCCCACTGCAGAATGAGCCAATGGCTCCTGAGGTGAGAGCCCAGACGAGCAGCCTCACTTGCAACAGCTTGCAGAACCCCAGCTTACTGGCACTGGCCCATGGGCAGGAGAGCAGGAGCAGCAGGGCCACCAGTGGCTGAGGCTGGCACATCTCTCCCACAGCTGGACACTCTTTCCAAGATGTGTGGAAGTCTGAGTTTCCTTGTGCCCAGAGGCTGGTTTTATACCCTGGAACCAGCTGTACCCAGCAGCCAGGAAACCATGTGCAATGGGCTGATTGTGCTAATCAGAACAGGGCAGCACCCCTGCAGGTCTGTGGGCATCGCTGCTGCCCTGGTCTGCTCAGTGGCCATGTGGCCTGTGGCTGTGATTGATGAGCGATAGCACAAGACAGAAAGGCCAGGGCAGAGAGAGCCTGGCACACCATAGTCCCAAAGCCTCAGGGATGCTGACCAGGCGAGGTGTTCTAGGGTGTTTTTTAGGTGTGATTTAACATTTCTCCCACAGTTTCTGTTTAATGTTCTTGGCTTGAGGAAATGCAAGGTTTTAAAGAAAAGCCACTTAAAAAACAAACAATCAACAAAACTTTGCCATTTAGGGTCATTAATGTGGTCTAGAGGAGATGATCCTGAAACTTTTTCTTTCAATATTCTTGTTTACCTTCAAATCAAAAGATGCACTTCAGAGACTCTTCTCCTACAGAGACCCACCATCACCAACACCCACTTTCAATGAACTGACAGCCAGACACAACGACTGTCCCTGGGACATTTCTTTGAGCACTGTGAAGGGCCAGGTCTCCAGGGTTTGGTGTCAACCCACGTCAGAGGGGCCTTGCTGACTCTTCTTGGCTCCTCTGGGTCCAGAAGCATCCTGCCAGGTTGGGGACTACATTGTGCCTCTACAAAGAGGACTGCCTGCTGCTGCACAGCAGAAGAGACCAAAGTGAGGAAATGCAACCACCCAACTGCCAGGAGTGATCAGTCATTTTTAAACCAGCACAACTCCACCCTTCCTGGAGCAGAAAAACACCTGCGGGCAAGTGGATGCCTTGGCTGATGTTGGGCTGTGCTAGGGCCATGCAGCAAGGACAGGATGGGTGGGTGGGGAGGTGGAGATGCGGGACATAGATGAGGATGCCAGCTGTTCATGAGCCAGCCTGGGGGCTGCCTGACAGGGCCCACTCTGTAGAGTTTTGCCCACTTTTTTTTTAAATCATATTATCAGAAAATACAAGTTTTAATCAGAACTGTGCAGCACCACAGCAGGAAAACCTCAACAGAAATCATCGATGTTTTATCTTGTACTTGTAACTTGCTGTCTTTCCCTTGCAGCTGCTTGTGGCCCCCCTACAGTCTGGGACCGGATGCCCTCCTGAGAGCAGCAGCCCCAGGGAAGGAGGGACTGGGCAGGCCACTGGCCATGGACCCAGGGAGCTGGGCTTCAGGCCGCTACTGTCCTGTTCTCTCTGGCATCCCTGACTGCAGACAAATTCCTCCCTCTGGGCCCTCAGTGCTTTTGCCTTCCTGTTGACCTCTGGAGAGTTCCAGGGCTTCTGCTGCTAAGGATACTCACGTGAGTATCCCTCAATACCTGCTCTAGCCATGGATTTTGTAGGGGGTCCACAGTGCTGCAGCTGCCATCCATGCCCCCCCTGGTCCTTCCAAACCCAGGACTTGGCAGCTATCAGGCAGTTGCAAGTAGACTGTAGCTTTTATCTGGAGGAAAGAGATGAGAAACATCGCGGGATGGGGTGTCCTGACCCCGCCTCACTTCATTGCTAAGAAAGAACATCTGAAATTAAATGGCAGCGAAGGAGAAGTACCAAGATAAAGCTCAGCCTGCGTCTGTGCAGATAGCAGCAGGGACATGCTGTACAACAGGAACTCTCCCTCGTGTGGGTGCCCAGCCGAGGGAACTCTTACCCCCCCCAGCCATGGAGCTGGGAACTCCACACCTCAGGTCTGGTGGCAGCAGCTTTGAGGAGGACATGGGGCTGGATTTGTACCAGCCAGCTGTGCTCTGCTGAGCGAATTGCATGGAGGGCAGGGGACCCAAGAACCATCTCCAGGCTCCTCTGGGGATGGGACCCTACCCTGACTTGCTGTGAGGCAGGAGCAGTGTCTGAGGTGTGTGGTGACTTGCAATGGGTGGGGGGGGGAGGGCTGGAAGGGCTGAGACACAGCTGGGACACAGTTCAGGCAGCTTCCCAGAGCTAGTCCCTCTCTCTGCATGCAACATGCCTCACAGGTACCCAGCTCATTCTGCCATGGAATGACCAAACAAACTAGATTCTAGGACGAGCAAGGAACAAGGTTTTGCCTCACTGGAACAGCTCTTGACAAAACAATTAGCACGGTCTTTTAGGCAACACCTGATGTGCTTATGTAGGGGGCATTAGGAAGAGCCTCCAATATTTTGCTGGTCCAGAGGACCTGGCACCCCATGGGTGAGTGTGTCAACCTGTCCCAGCTGCTCATCTGCCTTGAGCCCTCCTGTCATTAAAAATGTTTGCCTCCCACCAATCTCATGTTCTCCACAGATCTCCCCTGCAAAGAGCTCATTCCTGTCAGGAATCTCTGTTCTGAGACTCCTCACATGCTGCCAGCTCTTTGGGAAGCTACTTAGGGCCCTTGAAAAGGCAAATGTCTCCATTCTCTGATCTTTCAGGAACACTCCACCAGTTCTGTCCTGAGCAGACAAGTTAGCCGGAGGCTCATCCTGAAGCAAGAGCAAAGTGAGGGTTATGTGTAAGGGTCACAATGACCCTTTGGATTCCAGTTCTTCATGGGGAGCATCAGCCCAGACCATTTGGGAGTGTGCTCTTTGTGCTGAACGTGCAAACCTGCACTCCTCTAAACTGAGCTGCACTCCTGGCCCAGCCTTCCTGCTGATTTCCGCACCTTCAATCTTGGGGTCATCTGCTGACTTTATCAGCATGAGTTTCTTTCCACACTGCTGATAAAAGGCCAAAACAACGGCTGAAAGGGTGAAGGTGGAGGATGGAGCCCTCAGCTTTTGATGAGAACCACTCTTGCTTGCACATGACTTCCTGCAGCAGGAGCCCCCTATGCACTTTCCACTTGTCTATGCTGCCATCCAGGCTAGAATCTCTCCACTCATCCAGCAGTGGATAGACTCCCTGGACAACTCCCTGTTTGCCATGCTGATGGAAGAAGTCACTGCTCTTTGCTCTCAGCCTGGGGACCTCTTCATGAATTTGTGCCAGTCTGGAGTGAGAACACAGGTGAAAGTAGGACATCTGCTGTGATCCTGAGTTAAAAGGTCCTCTGTCTTTCTTTTATCTATGCCTTTTTGCAGATGATTTGGGTGGGGTCCATCCTCCACACAGAATGTGGTTGATGTTGTAACTTCCCTTTTTCAACTTTGATAGGTAGAAGTCTCACTTATTTTGCACAAGGAGTTCTCCCCTCTACCTGCTCTGTCCTGGGTCTTGGACAAGCATCTGGAGAGCACTGCCAACTGCGGAACCTCCCTCCAGCAGCAAGAGCCTCATACCAGCCATGACAGGTGAGTCATAAGGCAAATTCCCAGCCACAATTGGGAACATTGCATTGCAAGACTCTCCAGTTGAGTTTTGCAGACGTAGGGAATAGGTCAATGATAGACATTAATATTACAGTCACATTTGGATTCCTTGGTTCCAATCTCAGTGCAGCACTTTGTGCCTTCTGCAATGACAAGAGGCAGCACCTTTTTGCCTCCTTCCCTGCCTGTGACCCAGACAATGGGAAGATTCTGGCCCATCTCTAGAACGTGCTTGAAGGTGGGGGGATGCAGTGTCAGGGCACGTGCTTAGCTTTGACCAGATGGTTCCCTTTGAACTGGATGGAGCTAAGCCCCAGCTTCAGTCACATGGGTGCCTGGAGTTGCTGCACAGACTGCAGGACGTGGATGGACCTGTTCTGAGAGAGTTGCAGGAGCTGGGCCTACAGAGAAGCCCAGAGGGGTGACAACATGGAGCTTACTCCTGAAGAAGGATGTATCTGATCGTGGGTGGTGCACGGGGCAGTTGATGAAGGGGCAGTTGCTCTCTGGCAGGTTCAGGGATGAATTTAGTACCACAACAGGCAAAGCACTTAGTATCTCAACTGTCTGCTTTAATAGCTCTTACTAGCACTTGGTTCAGTTCAGGCCCACGGGCCTTACCCATCAAGGTGGGAGGTATTGCTTCATTTGACCCAGACTGCTCTGATCCAAAGAGGGGCCTGACATATTATTTCATTCATGTCCCACCATCACAACCACAGCAAAGCTGACAATAGCCAAACCCTTACCAAGAAATGGTGATAGCTGTTAGGAACAGTAACTCTCACTCACAACAGGAAACTTTATTAAACAACAGGAAGCCTATGTTCACGGTGGACTTACAAAACACCTCACTCTCCTCTCCCCTTGCTCTTTCAGTGCTGCAGGGCTGCCAGACAGGACTCTAACTCTCCTCTCCACACTAAGCAGGGCTGTTGGGTTTAGAGCCAGTCCTGTGTGGCAGAGTCTCATGGCTACTTTAGCCCTTAAACAGAAGATCTGCTCTGCCCCAAACCCTACCTGATCCCTTCCTCCATCGTGTATCCCTTGGCTGCTGACCCAGCCTCAGAAGATGGATGGTCCAGTGCTAAGCTGGCTGTTGAATCACTCCCTTCTCCTTCCACTGGACTCTGCTCAATATCCTGAGCTCAGACTTGACCTGCTCGACAGGAAAGGCTCCTGCCTGCAGCTGGCTGCCATGAGGAATGTGAACATCATCCTGCAGCACTACAACTTCACAGGCAAGCTAACCAACCGGCAGTCTGAGGACGAGGGCATGGGTCTCATCCGCACAATCTTCGTCATCATCAGCTGCATCATCATCCTGGAGAACCTGCTCGTGCTGCTGGCCATCCTGCGGTGTCTGAGAGCCCGCCGCTGGGTCTACTCCTGCATTGCCAGCATCACTGTGAGTGACCTGCTTGCAGGAATTGCCTACCTCTCTAATCTCTGCCTCTCAGGCAAGAAGACCTTCCAGCTTTCACCTCAGCTCTGGTTCCTGCGGGAAGGCATCCTGTTCATTGCGCTGGCTGCCTCCACCTTCAGCCTGCTCGTGACAGCCATCGAGCGTTATAGTGCCATGGTGAGGCCGATTGCTGAGAATGAAGCCAGCAAGACCCTGCGCTTACGCGGCCTCATCATTTCCTGCTGGCTGCTGGCCCTCGTCATAGGACTGCTCCCACTGCTGGGCTGGAACTGCCTGTGTGACTTCAGTGCCTGCTCTGTGCTCCTGCCTCTATACTCCAAGAACTACATCCTTTTCTCTGTAGTCATGTTCAGCATCATCCTCCTGGGGATTATTGGCCTCTACATCTCCATTTTCCAACTGGTCCAGGCCAGTTCTAAGCAAACCAGTTCTCGGCACAGCCGCAAGCGTTCCCTGCGCTTGCTTAAGACTGTGCTGATGATCCTGGGTGCCTTCATCATCTGCTGGAGTCCCCTCTTTGTTCTGTTGCTGTTTGATGTCTTCTGTGAGACCCAGACCTGCACACACCTCCACAGCCTGGACTGGACCTTGGCTCTGGCCTTGCTTAACTCAGGCGTCAACCCCATCATCTATTCCCTGAGGAGCGTGGAGGTGCGCCGTGCTGTGGGAAGCCTGCTGTGCTGCTGCTGTGTCAGGGCTGGGCTTTGCAAGCCTGGGAACTGCATGGTCATCACAGATATCAACTCTGGCTCATCCACAGAGAGCTCACTGCGCTACCGGGAGAGTTTCCGCAGCTCTGTGGCACTGAATGCTAGGCCCAGAGCACCTCTCTCCAGCAACTCCAGCATGATGAGCAATCTCCCCAGCCTCTGAGAGGCCATGGGAAGAGCAAGAGGTGCCAGATAGCTCCCAGGACCTCATTCTGCTGGTCCTGGCCTGGCAGAACTGTAGCCTACGTGCAACTCAGGCTGACCAGGGGCAGCCCCACCCCAGTTGTTAACTGGGCTTTCCAGTCCCATCAGACTGGGATTTTGTTTCAGTGTGGGTGCAGCACAGGGATAGGCATTGCTCCCAGGCTGGGAGAGAAAGATATGGGTACATTTTAGCATTGATGCTCTGCTGAGAAACTGCAGTGCCTAGGTTATAAGTGTGTGTGCTCTGTGTGTGCAGACAGACACTGTACCTGCCCAGATGAGGGTATTTTGCCCCAGGGCACAGTGACAAGTGGGCTGGGCATCCCCAACCAGATGGCCCCCCTTACCCCTTGAGGTCGGGCTGGGTTGGCAGTGCTGCCGCTTCACATCATGCAGGGCTGGAGGCGATACTTTGAGTCTTCTCCTGAAGTTTACAGCCTTCTGGAGCTGCTGTGACGGGCACAGCTGCTGGGAAAGAATGCAGGCTTGATGTCAAGAACAACTGGATTTGCAAGTGCAACTGTGTGCTGTTGTGGGGCAGTTCCGAGCCCCCTGGCCGGGAATCAAGTGCCCACCTGCAGTGCAGCACAAACCAGCCAGAGGACAGCAGAGGGCTGCAGCAACAGCCTAGGCCCTCCCTGGAGTGCTGAGGTTGGACACTATGCCCGGGCAAATGCCGTGACAGTGCTTACAGTCTGGCAGCAAGAAGTGAGAGCCCTGCCCTGCCCTGCCTCTGGGCATGGGGCTGCACCTGCAGTGACAGCCCGGGCACTACCACAGTGACTGGGGAGCCTGGGGCCACCCTAGGTCTGACAGAGACACACTAGGGCCTGAAGACACTGCCAGCTTGTGCCTCAGATCCCTGCTCCTCTATTCCCTAATGCAGGGAATAATCAGAGCAGCACTCAAACGCATCCTCTCACCCTGCAAAAAGGACAAAGCCACGGAAGCACTGTGGGCTCACACAAAACCTGCTGGCCCAGCCCCTCCACGGGAACTGTTATCAACCCATTTGTTTTGCATTAAATCGAGGCGACCAGAAAGTCTTGGGTTAATTTTGCTGTAAATTTTTTACTTCCTGAAGGTCAGGTACTCGGTCTCCGCCGCGTAATCCAGAAGCCGGGCAGCACCCAGCAGACGTTCCCTGTAGGCCCGGAACAGCCGGAGCCCGCCCTCCCGTTCCCAGGACAGGGGGATCACCCCGCTCACGGGGACAGCGGAAATCCCCCGTCCCGCCCAGTCCCGTTCCGTCCCGTCCCGTCCCGTTCCGTCCCACCCCACCCGTCACCGTCCCGTCCCGTCCCGTCCCGTCCAGTCGCTCGGGGGCCGCTCGGGCCGGCCGTGGGCGCCCCTTGCAGGGCCGGGAGGGCTGGTGCCTCCGGAGACTACATCTCCCAGCAGCCTTTTGCCGCTGGAACGCGAACTACAGGTTCCCGGCAGAGCCTGCGGGGACTGGGCTGCGTGCGTACCGCGGCCGTGCCGAGCAAGGGCGCGGTGCCGCGGACCGGCGATGCTGGGGAGCACCGCGGGCCTGAGGTGTGGAGTGTCGGCTGCTTCAAGCGAGGCCTCGTGCCGCCCGCTCCAGGCGTCCATGCTCTTCGTTGCCCGCCGTGCTCTGGCTTGAACGTGGCGCCCGCCGCCGCCGCCGAGCCGCGCACGAGTTTACGGCTCTACCGCATGGCGCAGCAGTACGAGCTGGCGGGCCAGCCCTACGGTGAGAGAACGCAGCGGGCCCCCGCTTCAGCTCGGTCTCTGTCCGGGAGGTCGGACCAGTCCGGGCAGCGGCTCTTCAGGCGTGGTGGGCTCCTGGGAGGAAAACTCGGACTACCCCGGGGAGGAGCCTCGGGTAGGGTCCGCGGAGCCGGGCGGGGGGGGGGCCCGGACTGCGGCCTCGTGACGCGGCAGCCCGGAGGCCCCAGAAGAGGCCGCAGGTAGGGCTCGCGGGGAGGCTCTGGGGCGGTCCAGCCGGGCCCGGGGCCAGGTCCCGGACCGGCCGTTCTTAGATCGACGAGTATGGAGGGCGGTCCAGCGCATGTGGTCAAGCGGTGCTCCTTTGTTACTTGGCTGAGTCTCCTACTCCGTCAGGCACTGGCCCTGTCTAGGACTTCAGCACTGCCAGGACGGTGCTGAGAGCTCCACCGTGGTGACCTAGAGGTAGTCAAGGACCCCACGGGCTTGTCTATGGCTGAGCTCTCTGTGTGTCGAGGAATCCAGCTGCATCCCTCCTGCATTCTAGGATACTTGGTCGGGATCCTAGTTTTGTTCTCTTGCCTTTGACTCCTCTATTGACAGGTTGATTCTTCTTCCATCTCTTCTTCATTCTCAGCAGTATCTGTTGCTCCAGTGGCTTCATTTCAGGGCCTATCCTGTTACAATTCTTCTGTTGTGTTACAGTTGACTTCCTCTGTTCTGTTACTTCCAGGTTGCCGATTGTGCAACACCTTTCCAAGCCAGAAACACACCCTGTTGTGTGAATCCTTGAAGTGCTGTAACCCTCAGCCTCTACCCCCGTGCACTCACGGACCCAGAATCAACAGAAGTAGAATCTACAGAAGTAGATATTTTATTCCAGACCAGGGCATGTGCTCTGTTCATGAGTGACTCTTCCGAAATTTCAGACTTATGTTAACAATCTGGCATTACAGCCTCAGGTTTCCTCTGCCACTTGGATGGATTGTGTGTTTCCTTTGCTCCTTCCTACCCCCTTTGGGTAGCTGATGGTCCTGTACCTTGTGTGTTCTGAGATGTCCTTCAGGATAAAAACTATTTGATGTTCCAGCCAAAAAGACCAAATACACATTGCTGCTCAGTCTCTTCTTGCAGGGGGAAGAGTTTTTTTGTCAACATCAGTCATAGAGCAATTTAAGAAGAAACTTGACTTCCTCTAATGCTAATAGAGTTCTTTAGTTTGTAAATGAATTATTATTAACCAGCTCTCTATAGAGAAACTGCAGAAAATCAACCTGTCTTGCTGTGCTGTCAGAAAATACTCTTGTGTCTGCTCTGTTTAGGTGTCAGAGGAGCAGAATTTTGGGTCCACATATTGCTATGTTTACACATCATTCTTTGGGAAACTAGAGAGGGATTATCCTCATTTTGAATCATTTTTTTTTCTGATTGGAGCAGGGGTGTTCTTAATACTTGTTTGTTATACAGTGTCAGAGTTCTGTGAGGAGAATTTACATCATGCCTTGACTCTGTTTACGGGTGTATGGCGATTCTATGACCTTTGATGAGACCAAACTAAAGTTAAGCTAAGTCAGGTTTAAATCTAACACTTAGCAGCACTCCTCTTTGAACAGAGGCTCAGATGCCTTCTGGAGCACCTTGTTCCATCCCTGACTCTGTGGGGGTGTAGAGGGATGAGGTCCTCTGTAGGTGCCAGAGTTATAGAGGAAGAAACTGAATTTGGAGCAATATAAATTGTAAGGTGGATTTGAACCTCTCTGTACAAGAGAGGTTATGTACAAGATGTCCTTTTGGTCCTCCCTTGGAGAATGCAGGAGCTGCTGGCAAGCCTACAGACTGCTGTTCTCCCAAAGAATTGCATTTCCATGTAGGGGATTTGATATGCTGAAGCTGAGAGTAGGAGAGAGCGAGCAGCTAGGAGCAGCCTGCTCATCTGTCACTTTCCCCAGCTACAGACCTGTCCTTGTGGGTGGGCAAGAGCAGCCTTTTGGGTGACACAGGGTAGGTAGCCTGGTGTCTCTGCACAGCCTCCATCCTCTGCATGCAGGGGTGATCCTACAGCTGGGGGATGCAGGAGGCTCTAGAGAGACCAGGCTCTCTCCAGAGGTGTTGCTGCCAGCAGGTGCCAGGTGCAGGTGAGCAAACAGTCTGTGTGGTTGTGTTGAGCAGGTAGACTGGAAGGTGGGCAAGGCTGTATAATGCTGGAATAAGGGGAGTCTGGCAGGACATGGCTGCAGAGGTGTTGCTCTGATGGATTGCAAGAAAAACCACAGATCTCTGCTCCTTCTTGGATGAGGGGGAAGAGGCGGACTTAGCTTTCTGCAGGTCCTGGCTGCTCTGAAGTTCATCAAACTGTCACAAAGACTGTTCTGAGAAGGAGCTAGGCTGGAGCAAAGGGGTATGTTGAAAGCATAAGTTGAAGCAACTGACAAGGCCTGTTGCTGTTCTCTGCTGCCAGGCACCAGGAGCGCAGTGCTCAACACAGAAGCACGCACAGTAGAGGCGGATGTCCTGAGCCGCCGCTGCGTCATGATGCGGCTGGGGGGTTTCTCCTACGAGCAGTACCAGAAGGCTCTCCGCCAGTCAGCTGGGGCTGTGGTCATCATCTTGCCACGATCTATCTCTTCTGTTCCACAGGATGTTGTAAGGGTAAAAAAAATAAAGTTTTCTTTCTCTTCCAATGGGAGATTTATTTGAGAGAAGCTTGGGTTGCTGCAGGACTGGAAGCTCCTGTTGTAATGCACAACAAGTCATATTCTAATATTAAAACTTACCTCTCTGCTTTGATTGTTAATATTTTCCTGCCCTCTTTCATGTTTAGCAGATGCTAAGTTTGTGTCTCACTTAAATCCTCAGCAATTCATGGAGATAGAGCCAGAAATGCTTGCTATGGAAACCATTGTGCCAGTCTACTTTGCAGTGGAAGATGAAGAGCTGCTGTCTATCTATGAACAAACACGGGCTGCTTCTGCATCACAGGGTTCTGCCTCAGCTGCAGAAGGTGAGTTCTAACAAGTGGGGGAAAGGTTTGAGGAAGACAGGCCTGGGAGCAGTCTGCTGTGTCCTGTACACCATGAACCACTGTTCTGTCACATTCATGTTTATTCTGACTTTGTCAAAGAGTTTTGAGAGTCAGTGGAAGAAAAACTCAGTATGAGAGAGTATTACTTGACTATATTTGGAAATACAGTTGCATGAAGTTCTCAGCTTCACACTGTTGCAAATAAGATATAAATCAAAACTAGGTTAAAAACAACATTGAAGATGTTAAGTGACGGTGGTGTGTTGGTAGAAGCTGAAGCTTTTTGTCTGACCACACCTCCGTTTGGTGCTTCCATGTATCCCCTTGTAAATAACTTGACTGTCTTACTGACCTGCTGTTTATGATTAACTTTAGAACTGCTGGAGAAAAGTTTTTGTTTTAGGACAGAATGAAGATGTATGGTCTCCAAGAAACTGTGTCATTGCATAAACACAAGTGACAAGTGAGAGGGCTTAAATGGTTTAAAGCTGGTCTTTTCAAAGTGCAGTTAGCAAGGAAAATAAAGGGATGAAACTTCCCTGGGTGTACATTGTGGTTTTGGGGTTTTTTTGTTCTAGTTCTGCTGCACACAGCAACTGCCAATGGCTTCCAGATGGTGACCAGTGGGGCCCAAAGCAAAGCTATCAATGACTGGCTTATACCCAGTGTGGAGGTGAGTAGTATGTGGATTCAAACTGGCAATGTTGATGGAATGAATTATTTTATTGGGACTTCATCAGACATTTGGACTGATAGGGCAAGTCAGGGGAGTCTCAGCCATGTAAGTATCTGGAGTCCTCAAAACTAAGGCCAGGGCAGACTCAGCAGGCATGTAGAAATGAAGCTGTCTTTGTACAGGTACACAAGAGGTGACGTGGAGTGACACTGCTCTCTTTCCTCTGCAGGGAAGGCTAACAGGCCTGGGTGGAGAAGACCTGCCCACAGTTGTGATAGTTGCCCACTATGATTCTTTTGGAGTGGCTCCAGTGAGTATTCTTTTTTCCTGCAGCTGTCTGTTCCTGTCTTTTTTCCCCATTTGGCCTTTGCCCATGTGTCTTTTCTTGGCCTTAAGGATGTGGGGCAGTTACAAGTGAAGCGTGGTGGTGTGCTATCTTGAAGCTGTTCTGGTATGTGAGAATCAGTGTAGGTTTGTCACCTTGTCTTTGTCCTGCTTCATCCTGCAGTGGCTGTCACACGGTGCTGACTCCAATGGCAGTGGTACCTCAGTGCTTCTGGAACTGGCCAGGCTGTTTTCCCGGCTCTACACCTACAGACGTACCCATGCTGGGTAAGAAACTGCCCTGTTTATGCTTAAATGTGTGTAGCTGAGAACAGATAAGATGGGCTTTTGCTCCAGACCTACAGGGTGTTACAAACAGTCCTTCAATTTGCTCTGTTCTGTTTCCATCTGAGTACGGCTGCTGTTAATGGCCAAGCTCCTTCCTCTGTTCTCTTTGCTGTAGCTCCGCTCAAGCGTAGGGACAAGTGGAGAGAATGATATGGGAAGTAGATTCCATCCTCAAGCAATGGGAACTCCCCCTTTTAATCTGTCTTGCCATTACCTGAGTATGTGGCATGTAGGAAGTGTTTGTTAATGGGCAGTTTGCCTTGGATGTCAGGTGCTAGTAGTTGTGATTTTACCACACCTCCAAGACTGAGTAAAGGAGTTCTTGGGAGTGCAGCATGCTAACGCTTTTCTGGCTTCTTTGATGGGCAGGTATAACTTGCTGTTCTTTGCATCTGGAGGTGGCAAGTTTAATTATCAAGGAACTAAGCGGTGGCTGGAAGACAATTTGGACCACACTGGTGAGTAAGGGGCTGACATTCCAGCATGTTCTGTGGCAAAGTCCGTGTCAATACAGTTGTGTTAAATGTCTGTTATTAATTGTCAGTCCTCCTGTGAGAATCTCCTTGTGTGAGCCTTGCTTTTTTGGGATGGAAGTCCCAGCACAAGACATAGCAATAAAGGCTTGTATTTTTCTGTTGCAGATTCCAGCCTGCTGCAGGACAACGTAGCATTTGTTCTCTGCCTCGATACTCTGGGCAGAGGCAATAGCCTTCATCTCCATGTCTCAAAGCCTCCCAAGGAGGGGACCTTGCAGCATGCATTTCTGAGAGAACTGGAGATGGTAATAAAAACATTTTAGGTACATGGGAACTTGGGACTTAGTGTGGGGAGCTGCAGCTCTCCAAGAGAGGAAGGACAATGTAAAGAAATGGTGTGCCATTGCAATATTTCATGTATTATTTATGGTCACTTGATTTGAAGTGCAGACAAATTCTCATGCTGCAGTTCTAAATGAAGCAGAGTAGATCTGCTGCATTTTCCACTGCACTTCCTTATGGCTTCCTTATATTACCCTGTAGTGACATTAAAACAGCTCTTTTTGATATGAAACCAGCTTTATAATGGCAATAACTGCACCTTACAGGTGGAGGTGTGTTTACCTTCTGGAATGCAGAAAAAGTGGGTCTAGGTAGACAGGGCAGTGCATGATGGGATAATGCAGTGGGTAGCATGACACCCGTGTATGGCTTGTCCTTTCCTTCAGGTTGTTGCCAGCCAGTTTCCAGAGGTGAAGTTTTCCATGGTGCACAAGAAGATTAACTTGGCTGAGGACATGCTGGCATGGGAGCACGAGCGGTTTGCGATCCGACGCTTGCCAGCATTCACCATCTCCCACCTGGAGAGCCACCGTGACAGCCTCCGCAACAGCATCATGGACAGGAGGTGAGAGGCCTTAGGGAAGGAAGGCTGCAGTTTAAATCCAGCCCGTAGACCCAAATTGGCTTCACAGCTGCTTGTGTTGTTCTGATGGTCAGGAGATAGGTGACAAAAACACCGCGAGTTGGGCTCTGGATTCAGGCTCGTGCATGATGCAGTGAAAAAGGGTTGTTTCTAGAGGAAGCTGATGCCATTGGCAAGTCCATAATCCCTTCTTTTTTCTTTAGGGCACGGATAGACACTAAAGCACTGATCAGGAATACTAGGATCATTGCTGAAGCTTTGACAAGGGTCATCTACAATTTAACAGACAAGGTAAGAGCTGCCCACCATGCAGTGCTGACCAGACTTGTCCTGCCCAACCAAGCTTGCTCTCACCAATAGCCTGGATTGCTTGTTTGTTTCTTTTTTTTTTTTGCCATTGCAGGGAGCACCTGCAGATATGCAGATCTTCACAGATCAGATGGTGAGCACAGTGTGGTTTTGTAACCTGTGGGAAGAAAGAATCTAGAGTCTGGGAGAGAGGTCTGGTCTCAGCATGTGTGTAGCTGATGCCCTTTATTTGGTGGTATTTTTCTGTAGCAGATCCAACAGGAGCAACTGGAGTCAGTGATGGACTGGCTGAGCAGTCAACCCAGGGCTGCCCAGCTGATTGATAAAGACAGCACCTTCCTCAACACCTTAGAATATTATATGGGACGCTACCTGAAGGATGTCAAGCAGCATCATGTAAAGGCAGACAAACGGTAAGAAAGGAGATGAAAGAACCAGCCAGGGCATGCAAACTGGTTTCCCCCTCTAAAGAACTGTCTCTGAACTGCAGCTTTTCTTGTTTCTTGGCATGCAGCTGGAAGGGATTGCTCTTTTCTGCTTTTCTGACAGTTTTGGTTCATGCTCTCTGTTCTAGAGAAAGCTGTTTACCATTCCTCCCAGCACAGTAACAAGACCCAGCAGCTCCCTCTGTCTGAAGAGCTTGTTTTTTCACTGTTTTGGTTCCACCTTTCCCACTCTGAGTGCAGGAAAAGACTGAGGTCTCCTAGACAGCTTTCATTAATTGTGAAAGGGCAGCTTACATCCCATCTTACATGCTTAGGCTGAAGCGGTTTAGTGAACACAGGGAGGAATCTTTCACATGGCTCTTTGGAGACAGCTGAATAGCATGTGTTCTGAATTGTGTCCTTAGGCTTCTGATTTGGGGAAAAGAAAGACCTGATGACTAAAATCAGCTCAAAATTAGTATGCAAGGTGGTCATGCTTCTCTGTCTCTGGGTGGGTGGACTCCTTGGGGACAAGTCTGGGCTGTCCTCACTACAGTGTCAAGAAGTGTAATAGAATCTGAAAAATTTCTTCTTTGCACAGGGATCCTGAGTTTGTTTTCTATGACCAGCTGAAACAGGTGATGAATGCATACAGGTATGGAATTCCCTTGAGCACGTTGGGCTATTGTCTCACTCCGTGGCGGCAACTGCTGTAGCAATTTCATGTGTACTTTCTTTATGACAGGGTCAAGCCAGCAATCTTTGACCTGCTTCTAGCTGTCTGTATTGCAGCCTACTTGGGCGTTGCCTATGTTGCAGTGCAGGTAAGAGAAGAGAAGCAGGAAACAGACATATTATTTTCCTTATAAATCATGGTAGCACAGTAACTGGTGTTCACACAGTCCCAGCACTAAAGCTGGAACAATAATGCCGTCCCACTCTAAAAGCAGTTATCCAGAACAGCTGGCTGTTTTGGTGTATGTCTTTGAGTATTTCAGTTGGCTGTGCTGAAGGCAGTCTCTTGCCATTCTAGTGCAAAACTGGTTTTTTAGAGCTGTTTCTTGTAGTCAAGGACATGCATAACTCACTTGCTAAGCTATTTTGCCTTCAAACTGAGACTACTCAAGGCAACTAAAATTTGCTGTAATGTTAAAAGTTTGTTGTAGTGAGTTAGTGTTAGGAAATATCTGAACTTGGGATGCAACTTAGAAATGCATCTTCAGAGTTTTGGTTTCTTTTTTCAATGAAACCATAAATACATCCTGTGCCAGTAATCCTGGAAATGTGATACTCCATGCCTTGGCCACTGTTTATATGTAATGTTTTTGTGTAAGTGTTACCCAAGCCACTGTGAGTGAGGCTTCTGATCCTGCCTAGGCTCATGAAGAACATGAATGAAAGGGAAGCATTTTAGGTCACTCTCAATTTTGATTTCTTTGTGTTATTTGTGTTTGTTATTTGTTTGGGGAAACTACAGGCATTTAAAAATACAATGTAACAACATAAACAGGAAGGAAAACATATACTTTGATTTGTCAGCTATCTTCCTTACTTTTGTATTTGAATTTGAAATTGTTTGAAGCCTGGATTTCGGTCAAATATTTGAAGTAGCTGTTACTGAATCAAAGCACAAGTAACCAAAGCAAAATCAAAAGAGGAATTAAGTTAATTTCTAAGTCACTGGTGAAATGGTGCAGGAGAAGATCTGGTTAAAGGATTGTGAATTACTGGGAATCTCTGTGTTTGCCTGGTTTGTTTTTACGTTTCTGACACTGCTGGCAGCAGTGTTTCTACAGCGACCAGGATCCTGCAGGTGTTGAAATCTGAAGCTTTCTCCCCTTCAGAAGGAACAGAATTGCATCAAAAAAAAATAAAATCTTTAACAAGTGGTTGCATCTTCACAAAGGGGTGATATACACCTACACAAACACTTTTGTAAGCCATCACTTTCTGTACAACTTGAAGTAACTGGCTTCATTGTCATAATTCCTCTTAATTCATCAAATCTCACTCCAGCTTCAGGGTGAGAGTGCTAGTGGATGATTCAGACTAGGTACTGCATTTGCACGTTGGTATTGTTTTAAGCCTTCTACTAAGTTTTCTGTCTGTTTAGAACAGCCATGGTTACTTCTTTTCATTCTTTTTCCAGCACTTTGGTCTCCTTTACAAGATGATACAGAGATTATCCCTTAAAACCAAGCAGCAGTGAAGCAACAAGTCATCACCCACCCAGCAGCACTGAGCCATCGGTGAGCCCATCGGAAACCTTCTGCCTTCCATTGAACCCTGCTATTTCTCTTCCTCTTTGCTACTGTACAGAGGGGAGGAAGGCATAAAGAAAATGAAATTTTAACTCTTGCGCACCTTTTAAGTGCTTTTCTTCTTCACCTTCTTCCCCTGACTTGCACCGTGTCTGTTTTCCTTTGCATTTTGGTGAGAGAGAGGCTCAGAGACTCCACCAATTCCTGCAGTCTTATTCTGGGCAGCTTCTATGAGTGTAAAACAAAGTCCAGCACCTTCATGGACATGTGTCATACAGCCAACTTGGAAACCGAAACTACAGAGTGACGTGTTATCTCTGCCCAGCAGACAAGGACTCGGAGCAGTTGTTTAAAATTAAAGTGAATGCAATTAGCATGTTTCCTTATGGTACCTCTTCCTTAAATTCACTGCCTGGCTTTAGTGAGGTGTGCTGAGCAAGCAAGCAAGCACCTTTTTGCATTTTGTTTAGACTGCAGTAACTCATGCCCTTTTAGGAGGTGCACTGTGAGTGATCCTGACTGTTATTGCCAGGACAAGGAAAGATTGCTGAGATGAGTTTCTGGTATTAGGGTTCTTGCCAGGACAGGTTCTCTCCCATCTGTGTTGGAGGATGCATTTTGCTGTGTACTTGGTTACTCTGGAAGTTTATGGTCTTTGGACAGTTCACGGCTGCCAGCACTCTGTGCTAAAATCTTGCTTGATCTTTGGGGGGTGTTCTGTTGTCCCAGCTGCTGCAGGATTGTGTTCTGCGCTGTTCCATGTACTTAAACAAGCTGGTTGCATCAATAACAAGAGCAAGAGCAGCCCAGACCTGGAAAATGTATCAAGATACTGACTACAGGTCCTAGACTAGTTGTAGTTCTAGAAGATAACCTGATGGAGTATTGTTCCTGCCACCCTGCAAGGTTTGAGTCCTTCCTCTGATCTGTCCTATGTACATGACGTCTTTTCACAAGCCACAGTGGATACCTTTTTTTTTTTTATTCTTCACACTACTACTTATAATTAAAATAGTGTATTTTACAGGGGCTGAAAAGCTATTGTGGGTTTGAATGAAGGTGTACCTCTTTTTTTTTTGTATGCATGGAAAAGTCAAGCTGTGCATTCTTGTCTGCACAGAGCTGCTGTGCACGTGCTTGTTAAAAAATGGGTTGTTGTGACCAGTCACTGGCCTTGTCCTTTGGATGGGCACCAAAGCACTGATTTCCATGCATCTTTCTTTGTTTCACCATAGTCTCCTTCTTGGAGTACCCTTACCCCATGATGTGCTTTCTGCTACTTTAAATGTGTAGCAACTTGTTTTTTAAAGGGTCTTGTCTTTTCCAGGACAGATGCTGGTGTCAGCAGCTCACCATCATATCACCAGGTGGCATGGTGCCAAGCACTCCTGAAATATCAGCCCTACAAGGGAAACCTGCCTTTTCCTGATCTTTGAGTGCTTATTTGAAATATGTCTCTCTGCATGCATGAAGTGTTCATGACACTCCTTTGCCAAATGAATTTATAATGACTTCAGAAGTTGCTGAAGTGCCTGAAAGACAAGCCTTGATTGTTTTCCACTGGCTTTTGTTCTGTGCCCATAGACATTACAATATGCGCCATGGGAAGGTGCATTCTCTGTGCTGGGTAGGTTTAGAATGTGCATGGTACAGTGGTTGTCTGAAGAACTCTGTAGGCTCTGAGTGTCTGGAAGTAGTTTCAAAGTCCTCCAGCTGCATCATACATTTCTAGTGTGTTAAACTTAGGGAGGTGGTGTTCCCTCCAATCCAGCAGATTACTTAACCAGTCCTAATTATTCACTCTGTTACTTTGCTGAGGAAAATAGAAAAAATGATTAGCAATCCTGCTGCAGCTTGAGTTGATGAATATAAAATTTGCCAGCAGTGGGCAAGAGTGAACAGAACAGGCCCGGAACATTATTCATTGCAGTGGAGACTGTCAGCCCTCAGTCTTCCAGATGAGAAGCTCAAAGTTCAGAGTCAAAAACTTCCACCACAAGGCAACCCAAGTGTAGTTGCAGTTGTGTCCCCGTCAATGCTGTAGCACTAAAGAAAACACTTTAGCTGCATGTGGTCTCAACAATGAACTGTTAACACTCCTGATGCAGTGCCAACAACTTAAAAGAAAGATGGATAAGATTTATGAGTTTATAAACCTGAAGGGCAGTTGGGACAGTATATCGCTCTCTCCCACACAAGGTTAATTTGTCCCATAATTCTTTTGGATGCATTTTGTGTTTCTCTAGCTGCCTGCCTTAGCAAGTAGTTTTTACTACAGATGAGAGTTTTTGATCAAAGTGCACGTGTGCTGAAACATATATGCTCAAATCTGAGATAAACAAATTCAAACTTTCTCATGGCTGGAACACAGTGCCCATCCTGGGATTGAATTTAGTTCCCACATTGCTATTTCCACATTGTTGTTTTCTTTGGTAAGTTAACAGAGAAGCTTGCAAATAGACTCTGGTGCTGATCCACACTGCAGCATATCTGATCAATTCTGACACCAACACAGCACACAAAGGCAGAAATTCAACAGGTGTCATGATAAAATAAAAGTTCTCCACAACACTGCAGAAGAGCTCTGTGTAGCTGATTCTTGTTGCCCTTATTTTTACCTATCTTTCTCTTGTGAGGAGTTTGCCTGGCCTGTAGGTAAGAACATGGAAAGCATATGTGCACATATACACAAGTGGCTAGCAGCTGATGCTTCTAGCCAGAAAACCATTTTCTTTGCTATTTGTCTGACTTTACCTTTAGCTGTCAAAGTCTGCAGCTCACAAAAAAATGGTTTTCTAGCAGGGTTTAACTGAAGTTGTTAATGCCTTCTGTCTACTCCCACCTCCATGAGCACTAGTGGGGGTTTTATGCAAGTAGTTTGGACTATCGTAGTTTATCTCCCACATAAGAGAGGTTCGTTTATTGTTAGGAGATAAGTAATGCTGTGCAATATGAACTCCATTCTTGTACTTAGTGCAGAGAAGATCCTGAAGCCAAAATGGAATTGGGTATCTCGCTATCTGCAGCTGAAAGAGTCACCACAATCTATTCAGATGTTCAAAACCACAGCTACCCAAAATTGTTGTGGGGCTTGGTTTTGAGAGTTTTTGTTTGTTTTAAATTTGCACTCTCATATTGTTCATAGCACAAGCTCAAATCCCAAGCTTCTCCTGCTCCCTGTGGCCAAGCTGGGTTTTACATTTCAGAGCCATTCAGTCTTGACTCACTGATCTGAAATGATGGGGCTGCTACTATATGTCTCAGTAAATTAGGCCTCTGGGTGCTTGAGTGTGGGTTCCTGCTTGCTCACTTTGATCTGTTTAGTTTCCATTTGTAGTTATTGCATAGCAACTTCAAGGTTATAATCTGGAATATTTGCAGCTCAGGAAAAAGATTTGATTTATCTAGTAATGTTAACTCAATTATTTATCTCTTGTGTGCCCTAAAGAACAAATGTATATTGAGGTGAATATTTAAAAGCTAATAGAAAATTCACTGCAGTTGATTTACATATTTTTTGGACCATAAATGTAATAATATTTAAGTATTTTAACTTTTTTCATTTTCTTATTTGTTTGTCTCTTTTTCTTTGGAAAAATAAAGTGAGTGAGTAGGTTTGATGGACAGATTTGTCAGAGAACTATTTGCTGATGGAAGCCTAAAAAAATGGAGTCTCCTTGCATTATTTGGAGGAATAGATCCCTCTACAAAAAGGAAGAAAATCCATGTGTTTAAAGGCTTCCTCCCTTCTCTATAGTCAAAAGTAAAATAGTATGACACAAAACATTTACAAATTCCAGACACGACTCCACCACCTTGAGGTGAGCGAATTCCTGTAAAGTTTCTATGCAAAACAGCTTTGATACTGTGAAAAACTGGTTACCTTAGAAGCCAACACTGTGCTCATAGAGATTGTTGTGTCTCTGTCATTACCAAATGACCATTTGAACACTAAACTATTTATTCAAGTTATAAACATTGCAAGAGATCTGTTCCCTGAGCATGAGTTTGTCCAAGTCTTACATGGACAGTGGTCATAGTTGTGGAGTGGGAAAGCGACCTAAACACTACAGAAAGGGAGAGTCAAACGTTGTACGTTGTACCTTCATTCTGCCTCCTCCAGTGGCCCCTCTAAAGGGGTTCTCTGTGTTAAGACCCTTCTTTCAAGAAGAAATGCTTTGGCATTTTGATAGTGACTTGCCATCTTGCCTGCAAGTTCACAGGCCCTGGACTCTTTTTACCTGCCCTGTGTATTGTGCCCAGCATAAATTCAGTTAATGTGGGATTTCTTGAGGAATCCTTTGATCCTTGCTATAGATTTTTGTGTGAGGGTAGATTAATTTGTTTCAGCTTGGTTTGCTTTATGGAATTAATTAGGTTGGAAAAGACCTCTGAGATCATTGAGCATAACCTATAATATTGGACGACTAAGCATGGTTTTCCTTTCAGATTAATTTCTTTCAGAGAAGTTACAAGTACAAATTACTCTCTTGGAGGGAGCTGTGTACCCTGTAATGAAAATGGGAAGCAAAGCCCTCAAGCTTTTCTGTGCCATTGGGATCAGAGAGGGAAAGGAGCATTGTGAACTCCTTCCAGGAGGGAAAAAGCATGCGCACAATGTAAGACAGAAGATCTGTCAGTTAAAACAGAGGTCATGAAGAAATGTTTTTTCATTTAAATACCACATCTACTGTTTTTCTGAAGAGTTCTTGACCCCTGATTTTTATCTAGATAATTTAATAAAGCATGGGCCTCAGTTCTTTAATGTAATTCTTAACAAACCCAAAAGGAACAAGCTGACAATATCTGACTGGAAACCCATGCAGCAATTTCACTACAGTGTCTGTTTTGTAAGAGAAAGGGAGAGGATATAAAGACCTTACCTCTGCTGAATCTAAAAAGAAACCAGTTCTTTTTATTGTTTAAGCCACACTAGTGATTCCTTGTTATCAGCAGGTTTTTTTTGAACAGAGCTAGAGTTGGCATTATTTCCTTTGGGCCATTCAAAGGATGGTGTCTTAACTGCTGTGTGGAGTAAGGTTCTCCTAGAATTTCTTCCCGGCTCATATGAGTGGGAATTTGTACTAGAGAATAGCCCATAAGGGACTGTGGGACTCATGAAGGGCAATTTGAGCTTGTATTCTCAGATGGTGCTTCTGTGATAGCATCAGGTACTTCTTGCTAAGGATGCTGCAGTGCTGGTACAACTGCCATGCTTAGAAGATTGCTTCTGTTTCTGGACTGTGCCTCTGTCTCAGATTCCAGCTTTCCCATCTGCAGCTAGTCTGAAGAAGCAGTCAGGTGTGCTACTTGATGCTTACCCCTCTGAAACCTCTCCTGCTCCTGTTTCTAGGGATTGCCCTGTCCACAGAACAGTGGAAGGAGCTGGAGATCATTCCCAAGATTGATGCTGCTGTCGAGAAATGATAAGATGAAGAATCTCAGACACCTTCAATCTATTTACTTTTCCTTAGGTGCACTGGCATATAAAGACAAGGATTCTCATCTGGGGCCTCTTTCTCATGTTGATGGGGCTTCCTCACTGAGGTGGTGGTCATGCTGAGAAGACTAGAGACTTCTCTTTTTAAGAAGTAGCTTGTAATAAGCACCTGAAACTAGAGCCAGTGCTGTGAAGTGAGACTTCAGCACCTCTGGTCTCATGCAGACTTGAGGTCTGTGCTGGTGAGGGACACGACCACAACCTGGCTTTCCAGGGGTAGATGGCTTCTGTCTCTATTGTGGAGTACTTTAGCTTGTCTACATCTGTTACTGACTTACATTTTGTTGACTATTGAGTAAGATGGTTTGTATACCTCATGTTGGCATCCTTTGTGTTTCCTCTACATGCTATACTGGTTTTTTGAGTGAAGGCATTCTACTTCAGCAACTGGTTTGTCTGTAGAGGTTGAATATGCACAACACAGGTGTTTGCATTATAAAGAGAAGAATCATAGTGTTTCACAGGCTGCCACCTCAACTCTTTGTTTCAGGCACCCTTCTCTGTAGGTTGCTTTGGATTTCCCT